CGGCCACCCTCAAGGGGAAGGTCATTTATTTCCGCTACCAAGACATGAGGCGGAATCTACGGCCGGTGGCCCGGGAGGTGCAGTTCACCTACATCCCAGGTAAGGGGGGCTGCCCTTGTCCGGGGGGTCAGGGAAGAGGCTGGGGGCACGTCCCGTGCCTTCCCTGCCCCCCAGAGCAATCGACGCTCCTTCCAAGTGCACCCACCCTTTGGTCCTGCTTGCGCCGAAGGAAATCTAGCGAGGCTCCTTTGAGCCCTGGGTCAGGGTTTAAAATGGTCCCGGGGCGGGAGCTGCCTTAAGGCTTCAAGGAGGCAAAGAACCCTCAGGGGAAACTGCAGGCCCAGTCACCCCCTAACAGCCGCGAAGCAGCGCGGAAGGGTTTGCCCTTGCCTTCTTCAGTCTGGCTTGCCCCCTGCTGTTTCCTCGTGGTCTCCCATCCATATATTCATTCGGCCCGATCCCCCTTCGCTTTTCCAGGGTAGCTGAGGTCAGCTAGGGGCTGCCACCGGCTGGGCAAACCAGCTTTTTCCCCAACTTGGCACTCCCACCATGTGCAATTGTAACAAATAATAACACCACCATCCACCATGCTGCTGCCTAGACATTCTGGGAGTTGTAATCCAGCAGATAGGCAAGGCACGAAGGCAAGGGGAGCTGATCAGAATGTATCTTTGCTTGCTATTGAAAGCAAAAGTCTTTGATTTTTGACATGTATGCTTTTATAGGCAGATTTTGAAATGCAGGTGTAGTTTTTGCTGCTTTCTAAAATCTTTGGTGTAGGCCAAAAATGTTATGTATGAAGGAGATTTCTAGGTTAGAAATAATGCTCTTTGTAAAATATAACCATGTGCTCTTTGCAGTAAGAGATTATTTTCTTTCTGTGAACTAGGATTGTGTAGCATAAGTAGCTCTTGTTTCCTTAAGGTGTTTTTTTTTTTTTAGTTGATGCTGAGATTGTGTCTATTGACACTTTCAACAAGCCATCCCCAAAAAGAGGCCTTGTGGTGGGGATTACCTTCATTAAGGTATGAAATTCATTACGTGCATTGTTTTATGCGCAATTCATTACAGTGCATGCCTACATTCTTATCTTCATTTAAGGTATGCAATTTTTGCAGAAATGTTGTGGACTGCAAATGAAACGTTTTCTTTGCTGTTGTTGGAATTCAATTTTTGCTCTGGATTTGATCACAAAATTGTGCTGCTGAGAAGCTGTTCTAGATAGGTATCTTATCAATCCTTGTAAACTTGCCAGTTCAGCAAAAAAAAACTTTATGTGGAACCGTAATTCCTTTGAATTTAGCTTTTAATTCTGATGGTTTCATGGGTATAGCCAGGTAATTTTCTTGGCAGCAATATGGAAGTAATTTGCTGCCTTCTGGGATGTTTTTCAGCTTCCCACTCTGCCTACAGCCTTGGGATTTACAGGTGTCTCCTATCCAATTATTACTCAGCTCTGCTCAAGATACAATTGAGGGGAAAAGATTTTTCTGTTTACCCTGGTTTTCTCAGTTGGTCTGGTTTTTTTTCCCTCCCCAATGGATTGTGAGTATGCTTTTTAAATCTGTACCTGAAGACAGGGACGGTTCTGTCTCTAAGGTCTGTGCTACATCTGAGCAATTCAGTGCTTTATTCTTAGCATCTTAGTTCTTAGCATCCCACAAACTACCATTTAAAACAGCAGAGGGCACCTGTGTAAACTTTGAAAAGGTGAAAGTTCCCCAGGGGGTGACCTGACTTCCGGGAATAAAACTAAATTAGTCAGCATTAATGCAAGTATAGTTTGTTCTTGAATTTTTTTTTTTGGTAAGTGCAGGTTGATTGCTAATGAAGCAGAATTATTGAAGGCTGTGCAGTGGCAAAAGGGGATTTTTAAGATTTCTCTCAGCCCAAGTGATTTGTCCGGATTTTTCATTTCCATGCAATGCAAATGGGGACCATTGTAAAGGGGACCTGTTCCAGTACATATGGAGGAGGCTGCCTGACACAGCTATAATCCATGGATACTCCAGGGCTTGGACTTTTCCCTTCCCCTCTGCCTTATTTAATATTGACATGAAACTGTTTGGGGAGGTCATCTGTCGGTTTGGGGGGGCGGTACCACCGATACCAAGCTTTATATATTTCCATGCCAGGCTGAGCAGAAGAGACAGCCTTAGAGGGTGTGAGGGACTCATGGAAAGAGAATGGCGCAGGCTGAATCTGAGCAAGATGGAGTTACTGTTGCCAGAAACTCTTGGTTTTGGGGTAGTTTCATCTTTGGCTCTGGTGTTGTGGTAGCTCCTTGAAGAAGCAGGTGCAATCAATTTTTGCCTGCTGTGCCTGTAACAAAGGGGCAGGGCTTTTACCATGTGGTCATGGTCACTATTTTGAATGTTTTGGAAGCCCCTCACTCCCATCCTGGAATCTTCTTTTCCTCAATAGGATGTTCCGAGGTGGGCAAAACAAGGAAGGCACACCCAGCTGCTGAACCTGTTTCAGGGGAGCAACACGTCATTGTCTACAGAGTCCCCCTTCATGATTTCCCCGTATTGCACAAAACACCATGTCGGTTTGTTTCACTTAATTGGACATGTGTGAACTTAGCCATTTTGATCTGTAAAATGTGGCTCAGCATGTAGTGTGAACTTTGACCTTTGTGGCTTAGACCAGAAAACCATGGTTAATCAAACCGGGGTTTACTACAAATGCCTGGGTCCAAGAGATCTAGAGGATGCTGTGGTGAGATCTGTGCTTTTCTTTCTCTCAGGAGCTGGAATCGTCTTTTTTCAGAGTGTGTCCTCTGTCCCTCATATTCCCAGTTGACTATTACTGGTTACCCCTCTTCTAACTGTTGCTTAGCAACTGGGTGGGATGGAATGAGTGGCAGCAGACCAAGCATGTTTTACAGTTTTTTTGACACGCAGTGTTGGTGTTAAAAGAACAAACTATTAATATGATATTGTTTAAGAGTATTCCCTTGTTTTGGTTTTTTATTTCTTTGCTAAGCCTATTTCCCATCTTTTCCCTTCCAACTCAAGTTCTTGTGCCTGGTGTTCCCCATCACCAATCTCTGTTTACTTAGTGAAGGGTTGATGAATAATAGTTTATTCCTTTGTCATAATGTCAGGCAGCCAAAAACATTATTCCCACTAGCTTTCCATAACCTGGGGCCTTCTGGATGTTTGGGGTCTGCAACAGCTAGCTGGAAATTCTAGGCGTTTTTTTACATTCTTATTTCTGCTGCAACATTTTCATGTTGCGGAATGAACTGCGTTTTTTGTCTGTTTTATTTTCCTTCTCAGGATTCTGGAGACAAAGCCAGCCCCTTCCTTAATATTTATTGCGACTATGAGCCTGGCTCAGAATATAATCTGGATTCTATTGCACGTAAGTTTTCTCTGCACATCTCTGCTCTCTGATGCCAGCCTCTGCATCTTTTTTCCTTTTTTTCCTGTCCTCCCCCAAAATCCTCTTTGGGATTTTCTAAAGAGCTTCAGTTTGGGAGCAGGACATAAGAAAAATAGCAGGAACATTCATGCACTTGTCCCTGGGACAAATGTTTTCTTGCTGTGAAATATGACTTTTTGTAACAATTGATTCCCTTCTGTTGCTGCTGTATTTACAAGAGGAAATGGATGCTAGTTAGCTGCACCAAGCCATAGAAACCATGATCACTGCAAGACCCAGCATGCAATGCCTTTTGCTTTTGCTTTGCAACAAGAGACTCGCTTTGCAGACAAGCATATTAGCTGCTGACTTGGTGTATTTTTAAAAGTATCTCAGAAACTGTACCTAGCTCAGATAACACTTAGCCCTTGACAGCTATAATTTCCTTTCTGTTTGAGGGTATTACCTCTCTTGGACCTGTTCATAATCCCTCAAATGTGAAACCATATTCCTCTCAGTTTGGGAATCATACCTGTTTCTCATTGGTTCTTATACGTGTTACTGTTTTCCTTTTCTTTCTCCCCAGAAAGCTGCTTGAACTTGGAATTGCAGTTCACGCCTTTCCAGCTGTACCACGCAGAGTATGTTTCTCAACAAACTCAGTAAACCTGTTGCCTTTGAAATTAGCCACCTTCACCCGCTGGAATTACATGCATCGGTGTTGTTTGTTTAATTTCTTCTCTTTTTTTTCCATGGATGAAAAGTGCTTGTATTGAGAACAGCTCATTTCTCCCCCTTCATTTAACCTAATCCTCATTGGGGTGATTCTTATTTAAATACAGACCAAAGCACCAATGAACTGCTATTGTGAAACAGTGAAATTAACTTTTTAAAAGGCTGAATGTTGTTGGTTGTTTGCAACTTCACAGCATCTTTAATCTTATTTGACCAGTCGGTTGACCATCAAGCCACCTACCCTTAAAAGATGAGAATGGCTCTTCTGGAAGAATAAAAAAAAAATGTTGCTCTTGCTTCCTACAGGGCCAGCCAGTTGCTCGCAGGTAGCCTATGGGCAACTGGCCGGCTCCCTTTGTTGTTCTCCAGCAAATGATATTCCATCGGGCTGGCTTTGAACCTGGAGATGACATAACGCCATCACGACTAATAATTCGGGGAAAACGCACCCTTTCTATATTTGTCTGTTTCACTTTTTGAGCTCTGAGCTAGTAGCTGTCAGCTGCATTCAGGATGCTTGAGTTCTCCAAACAGCTGATGGGTACAACTGCTGAGAATTTTCTAAATTCAAATAGTTGGAGGTGTGCTGCAGCCTTGCCTGCCAGAAAGGTGGTCATTATGGTGAAACGCAGTGTTGCCGCCTCTTGGATGAGCCAGACCTTTGTATCTCAGCATGAGTCACTGCCTTAGCCATGTCTCCTTTGATGGTTAATTCTGCATTCAGAGGGAAGAAGGATTTGATCAGAAACACAGCAGGATTATTTCTTTCCCTTCCTTTCTCTGTCCGGTGCCCATTTAACTAGAACTGGTGATAGAGCAACTGTCTAACTGGCCTCTTCCTGATATTTTGAACTATAGCCAGCCTGCATTATTTGCCACCAACTTAGCCATTGGCAATGCTAGTTGTAGATGACGAGCTTTGAAATCCAGCACTTTCGTTGGCTGGGGAAAGTTTCTCTAAATGAATCTTCTGGTTTTTTTTTTTTTATTTGAGCATGTATATTCTCCTTGTGGGGTATGGTTGTGTGATTCCAGAACTAACATATTTGATGCTGCTTTTCATGTTGTAGAGTCCAGGTCGCTGATCGGCCAGAGACCGTCTT